AGTTGGAAACATATATATCCTCCACTTCCAACCTGACTGAGTCCTACTTCAGGGCCTTCCCTGTGAGCAGGACAGGGTGGACGCCACAGGACAGGGTGGACAGGAGTGTACGCTTATATCTGTAAATTCACGGACAGCCTGTGAAACGCACCAGAACATTCCAAGTGACCAATACCCAGTGACCGCAACAGTTCAACACCCAGAGGCAGAGCCGGTGTGTAAGAAGCCAATCAGTGGACAGACTCCACTGTAAAAAAAACTGAGAAAACATCCATACGGCACTTGCCTAGTGTGCACACGCTCTGCAACATGTGAGGCAAGCACAGCCACACACACACCAGCAGCTGGAAGACGGCAGGAGGATTAGAGCAAGTTCAAGGCCAGTCTGGTCTATGGCTAGTCCAGGCTAACTAGAGCTATATAAAGAGACACTGTCTCAAAACAAAAACATTTGCTAGAGATGAGAGGGTCTGAGAACACCCACCACTGGGCCCTCCTCTTACCCAGTGGGGCTGGATTTCCCACGAAGGCTTTCAACCAAGCAAGACATCAGATGAAGGAGACGCAGAAGCACACAGAACAGTCTTCTGCTAAGTCCATGAAAACACTGCCACAAGCACAAAGCGATTTCAAAGGTATTATCACGTAATCAGGCTTACTGGAGTCATTTTAAAATTAGCTAGTGTTTCAATGCTTCTGGGTTCTGATGTCTCGAACATGGACAGACGGAAATCACGTACACTGAAGTCTGTCAGGATCCTCATGAACATCTAAAGGCGAAACGTGAAAGGCCGCTCTTGGGGTCACCCCTCCATGCTCACAAAGAGCGTGAGGAAAGAAAAGAACAAGACTATCAGTCTCCCCACACCCAGCCCCACCTCAGGTTCCCTGGCTTCGTCCTGCGCTCTTCTGGAACACACCTACAAACCAGGCAACTCAGTGATCCAAAGCTACCCGTCTCCATGTGGACATGACAGGCTACCAGGATGGCCTGCTTTCCCTGTTCTTTATAAACGGATCCAATTCTATGCATGAGGAGGGTCACCCCCAATCCAGCCAAAGGGACTGCCCATACCTGATGTCAATGCTGACTCAGCGGTTGTTCAAAGGGAAACAAGTGATTCCCCACACAGCACTACAGGCAAAGTTTCCCCTGGGAGACATGGCCTGGACTGGCACTCCTGCCCAAGACTAGCCCAGAATCCCAGGAGACACTCGGCTACCACAGGGAAACCCTGGTGGAGAAGCAGGCTCAGGGAGACTATCCTGCCCCTCTCTCAGTCAGATTTCCTGGCAAGCTGAATAACGGTCTCTAACATTCTCATTCCGATCCTGGGAGCCTGGGAATGTGTGACTTTTCATGTCAAACAGGATTTTGCACAGGATCGAGGCTGGTGTGCGGGACCATCCAGAGAGCCTGGTGCATGCACACATCCCTGTGAGAGATAGGTGAGAAGGCTTGGAAAGGGCAGAGGACCACAGCACAGGCCACGGTCTCTAGAGGGAAGAAAAGCCGGTTACCAAGGGATACAGGTGCCTCCACCAGCTAGAAATGACATCCTCAGCTGGGGCCCCTGAGGGCGCACCCTGCCCACACCTCGATTTCATCAGTGAGACACACTTTGGGTGCCTGCCTGGCGGTCAGAACTGGAAAAGAACCACTGACAGCATCTGGTGATGGCAGACACGGGAAGATGTCAGAGTTGCGTGGCCAGCTCCCACTCCAGGGCTGCCTCCTACTGGAGGTGAGAGGCTCCCGGAGGGCCCTGGGTCCAGCCTTGGGCATTCACAGCCCTGTGTTTCTGCTGGTCACAGTGCTGGAGGCCTGTCTTGTGGTGACTGCTCCCTAGTCAGCTCCTGACGGAAGCAGGCTGTCCCTCCCACGGCCTTGGCGGCCATTCCACAGGAAAACTTGAGGAAAATCACATAACCAAATTGTGCCGCAGTGCAGGGGAGCCTGGCTGCTCTCTCCGGATCAAATGGGCACAGACTGGTCGAGAACCGGTACTCGAGACCAGGGTGAGCATTACTGGAGAGGAGGGCCCTCCTGACACAAACCCTCACACAGCCCCGGCCATCCTCAGACCAACTTCCTTGCCCGGAAAAGAAAAGCGCTCAAGCACCAGCCTGCCCTCCCAAGGTCTGCCTGACCCTCGCTGACTCTACTGCCTATCAGGTTCATACTGGGGAGCTGAGGGCCTCCATCCCCACACGCTCCCCCCACCTCCTAGCCCTCTATAGGAACAGTCAATGCACCCCTGGGAGACCCTGAACTCCCTGGGTCAGCATTAGTCCTTGGAGAGAGTCTGTCAGTAACTGGAAGAAATGCGACCACTCTGGCAGAGAAGATAGTCTAAAGAGATACTTTGTAACCCTAAAGAAGTAAAATTTCCCCAGGAATCCCAGGCTGTGGGGAGGGAGAGTCAAAAGCCTTGGTGACAGACGGAGGAGGAACTTGCCTCTGGAAAGAGACTTCACACAGTGCCCTTTCAGAGCACCTTGAAGGAGAGAGGAGCAGAGACAAGGATGGGTCAGGGATGGACCGTGCCCTGACCAGGACTGCTTAGTTACAGATCCCCTCTGACCTGTTTATGCCTGAGAATCATGTTGGTACTCCTAAGACGGACCTGTTCATGTGTTCCTCCTCCCAGTGTGGCCACACTGAATAAATCTCCTTTCTCTGCTTTTCACAATTATCTGTCTCTTTAACCAGTTTACTGAGGACAGGTGGTGTAAGAGATCAGTACCAGCTCGGGAGCCTCAGGACCACGTTCTCAGCACAAAGGAGATTTATTTGCTCCAGAGGAACAGGGAGTGGGGAACAAGACACAAAGACAGGAGATAGAGAATGAGGGAGAAGGGGAAGGGAACAAGGGAGAGGGAGGAGGGGTATTTGACCCCAGGGACAAAGGACTGGCTCTGGATAGAGAGAAGACAGACATGGCCTATAGGCAAATAGTGGTTTATAAAGGGAAAATGGGAAACTGTGTTAGGATGAGGTGTTTAATTTTGAGTATATTAATTAGATGAGCCAAAGGGGGCTTTTAATTACTGGACTTCAAATTCCTTGAAAGCTGGACCTTGGTGTTCAGCCTCAGGAGGAAGCAGTCAGATAAGGGAACAGGCCTTGGAGGCTAGCTTTAGGAAAGTAATCTGACAGTTTTCAGGAAGACAGAGGAACGGGGAGAAGGTCAGGGCCTGCAGAGCCATTCTGACACCCTCTAGCCAGTGAGAGTCTCTTCAGGTGGCAATAGCTACACACTGGGGTTTCCAGAGCCAGGCTCATACTGTGCCAACTCCCCTAAGAAAACCACAGGGCCAGTAGAAAGAATAAACATCAGGAAGAAAAGCGGGTAGACTCCACGCTTTGACTCTAAGAAAGGGGTACCACAGGCTCCCTACAGAGAACAGGAAGAAAATGAGCCAGTGTCTACTGAAACCTGGGCCGAGTTGGGTATGATGCTCTTCTGTTCCAACAACTGGATGGCAGTGTCAGCACCACCCACCTTACACACGTGGAGGCTGGCTTAGACAGGGGAGTACACAGCTAATACTGACTAGCCCACACCCATGACATGTCCTCTTCCCACTCAGTAAGCCCAAAGTCAAGGGAAACAAGATGTCCAGAAGAGGGCAGGGAGAGCCCTGCTGGAGATGCCCAAGGATGAGGGCCAGTCCTGTCTCCTCAACCTCTGTGCAGATCCTCCGCTTCCCTGCCTGCTTCCAGCCAACCAGACTTGAGCCTTGACGGAGTCTTGGGATCTTCGTTTCTAAAGATCTACTCAATAAATGTTTGCCAACACTGGATGTCTTCCAGAGGCAAAATGTTGTCTCCAACAACAGCAACATTAAATTGTAGTAAGGAGAAAAGGGGAGGGGGAGGGGTGGGGGAGAGGTGCATCGCATAATTCAGATCTTGACCAAGACTCATGGGGGGTGGGGATGGGGGGGGACGGGACACGACCGACACGGATGACCCAGAGAGGCTGAAATTCCACAAATAGTGGTGCCAGGCTTAAGGAAACCTTGTCCCCAGAAATGAAGGCCTGAGATTTACCCTATCTGGGGAGTGGGGGTAGTAATGGAGAGCTGACCTGAAAGTCTGATTAAGGGATGCCTGGCATGTCCTCATTCACCCTCTGCTATGGAACTAATAAAGGCATGGTCTTTACCAAAGTGGACAGTCTCTCAGATCCCTGGATACAAACACGAGAGCGAGACAGTGCTAGCGCAATTTGGGACACAAGACATAATTATGGCGCGTGGCAACTTATGGCTGACCTGCAAATGAGACCAAGGTTGGAAAAGTGGGAGCGTGCCCAATCCCTAAACCCGCAAAGCCGACTTTCAGTGCAAACTTCCACGTGAGCCGCGAGAGCATCTCCCCCCGACTAAGGCAGGACTAGACATACTGGGAACCCGGAGAGCAGTGTGAGTTGCAATTCTGAGCAGTGGAGAAGGTCAGCCCTGCGCCCCAACATGGACTGGACCAGGGGCCTCACAGTGCATCGAGGGCCGCAGGGACCTGAGCGAGCTGCACGGACTAGGATTGGGGTAGAGGCGCTCACACCAGACCGTGGGCATCTTCAAGGCTCTGGCGAGCGCACAGCTTCCATTTCAGCCCTGGTCCGCTGCGCCCACGGGGTCAGAAGGCGGAGGACTAACCGAAGGAGACCCAGCAGCCCAACTTCAGCCCGCAACCGGGATGCACCAATGGCGATGGGAGGGGGAGAAGATGCAACCCACGCGAGTCAGACCCGGCCCTTTGCCCCGTGCGGTGCCTTGAAAACACCAGGTCGTCCGTGACACCAGGTCGTCCGTGACATGACATAAGCAGCCCTACCCGGGACCCTGAGGCCTCTTCCAGGCTCTGCTGCCACCCGCGCCTCCAACACACGCTGACTTCCCCCGCACTTGGTTCAGTCCACCGCTGGCGCGTTACCTAGGAGACGGGCACTGGATCCACGCTACCGAACGTCCCGCACCGCGGGTCCAGCGATCGGGCTGCTGGTGCCCAGCGGAACCCGAGGACTCGTGGGTCCAGTGCTGGCCGAGGGGGGTCGCTCAATCCGCCGCCACCCACGCGTGGAGCCCCGGGCTGAGGATACCGCTCACTCAGCACAGAACCCGCCCCGCGTCACTTTTACGTCAAGGCCTCGCGGCCAATGAGAACCCGAGCCCAAGGATTCTGACTCTGCGCGCGCCGGCCAATCGACGCATCGGCGGGAGCAGCATGATTTGCATGGACTCCGAGGGCCATTGCCAATGAGACTGTGACTGGCGTGAATCATAGCCAATAATAGGCTGCTAGGGGCGTGGCCGCGGGCGTCCCACGAGGTAAAGATGCTGCGGGCGGAACCTGCCGGAGCGAGCGGGATTCGGGGGTGCTGAAGTCGCAAGGGCAGGGCGGGAAGGAAGATCCGGAACGGGGCGTGGGATCCGGAGCTGGAGGCCCCCAGGTGAGTGCAGCCGGGAGACCCCGGCGGGCACCTGCGAGGCCGCGCTGTCGCGGCCGCCGCGGTCCCCTTCCATCTCCTCTTCCCTGGCCCCGCATCCCTGCCCCCGCCGCCGTTCTCACCTCCTCTCCAGCCTCCTCATCTCCTTCTCCACAGTCTCCCTGCCCCCACCCCACCCTCTCTGCTTCCCCTGTCATCCTGCCCCACCTTTCGGCCGACATCCCGGACCCCTACCCCAAACTTCAATCCCTGGCTCTACCCCTTCCAGCCCTGCATCCTCGCCTCGCCCTTGCCTCTCTGCTTCCCCATCCTCTCTCGGCCTCTGCGCACTCCTAGTAGCTGTCTTCTCTCATCTCCCTCCTTGTTGCTCCTCCAGGCGCATCCTTCGTCCTTGCTACCTGCCGTGTGTCCCTCTCGCCTTGACCCAGCTTCCCACCCATTCTGCCCTCGGTCCCTTCCATGCCCAACACCACTACCGCATCGCACTCTCTATTTTGCGGTGCTCCCCGGCACCTTGACACGCGTTGCAGCTACACCTTGTTCGCCCGCTGTCCCTGTCTCTGGACCTCTTTCCTCAGCTTCTCCCCCTGTGTCCAGACCCTGGCACTAAGCACTTCCCCACTTCCCTACCTGCTGCCGCTACTGCTGCTGCTTCTGCTGCAGGATGCAGAGCTCTCCACTGCTGCACTGCTGCCTGCTGCAGTATCTGCAGCAAGGTGTACCTGCCCACCTGCCCTCCCTCCCGTCTGACATACCCTGCTTGCTTCTCCTGGCATTTGTCCTGGGGTCTCCTGCAGCATGCCTGGGGCACCCCGGGGTGCTCCAAGTGGGAAGTCTTCCAACACCCCCTTGCTGCCTTGCCTACGGGCTTCCAGCACCCTCCTCACCCATCCCCCACTTACTGTTCACTCTCACTGTGTGATTCAGCGTTTTTTGGAGTTGGTAACTTTCTATCCTTACTGGTGTGAAGGAGACCTGTCTTAAAGGCAGGCGGTCTGGATTCCAAAGGCATGAGGGTTACATCAGAAACCAGACTTGAGCTGCCTGGTTGGGAGAGGGGCGGGAGCCAGGAACCCACCAGTTGGGGGTGTTGCCTCTTGCTCCGTTCCACTTGTCTGCCCTGTGTTGAACCACATCCAAGGGAAGATGACATTAAGTAATACCTCTTGGAGAGATGGGCTATTAGCATTTATGGAAATTAATACATCTACATCGAAGACAGGAACACCAAGTTCAGTCCGCAGCTGTCCCGCTATCTGTCGCCTCAGGGTTTCTTCTTTGCAGTTTTTCCTCCCCCTCAGAAACTCCAGCCCCCAACTCTCTTCAGTGCCAAGAACAAGCTGCACCCAGGCCCAGCATTGCAGGGTTTAGGGACCTGGGTGTATGAAGAGCCCTATCGATCTACCTGCCTCTTACTTGGCCAACGTGTGTTCTGCAGAGCCCTGGCCACGGTGTAGTACTGGGGCCCTGGCCTTGTGCTTTCTTTCCCAGCGTGGGGTCCTCAAAGAACCCTTGACTCTTGAGGTCCTGTCAGTCAGGTCCAGCCTGCACCGTCCCCAAGGGAAGCTGCCCAAGTCCACGCAAGCCTTGATGGTACTTAAAGTGATAGGCTATAGCAGAACCCTGTCTCCAAAACAGCTTCGGGGAGATTCCCTTTAAAACAGAGATTCCCCCCTTTTGCCTGTATGCTAAACCAGTCAACATATGTATGCCTTGTGGGTACCAGTCAGGATCTGGGGGGTGAGCCAGACAACGGGCAGAGAGAGAGGGGTCACGGAAAAACTCGAAGCCCCTTTCATGTTTCTAGGATCTGAAATCTCGTGAGTATGGATGTGGAGCCTGGGTGAGAGGTTCATCTATAAAATCATCCATCCACAGGAGATTGGGGGCTGTGACACTCGGGCCATGTGTGCCGGAGAGCCAAGGGGACACAAGCCCTGTGGCTGGCCAACTCAGAAAGCGTCCTACCCAGGGGCCGGCTTCTCCGTCCTTTTCAGTTTTCATTCACCTCAAGTGATTGGGAGGAAATAGATTGATGTGGTGGTTTCTGAGAAAGGCCTGGAGGGAGGGGTCTTTGCCTTGTGCTTGGGGAATGTGTTTCAGTTTCTGAGGACACTGGCCAGTAGGAACGCGAGTTTGAGCCTTGGTTAAATTCTCGGTGGTCTTTAACCAGAGCCAGCATGTTTTCCTAGAGCAGAGTCAGGAGATAGAACAGCAGCTGCCACAAGTAACATTCCGGAAAGGTCAACTCGGCATGTCCAGACCAAATGCCATGCCTCCCTTCATCGTCCCTCCCAGCGTCCAGAAAGTCTCTCTGACCTCGTAGGGATGACTCCTCTAAAGCACGAGAGTCTGGACCACCCAGCAGCCAGCCACCTCCTGCCCCAGAGTTCAAAGACTCCTTCTTTTCAAGGTCAACAGAGGCAGTGACCAAGTAGCACAGACCACATGCTTGGAACATACTTGTACCCAGTTCACTTCATAGCTGTCCAAGGTGGAAGTACCCTAATCACCCGATGGCTGCCCTTTGGGAAGGCCACTAGTGAGGTCTCAACAACAACAAATTTTCAGGGACTCCAGTCGGCCTGGCCTGGCAAACAGCACTCAAGTTGTTCATGACCATGTGTTTCGAGGGGTAGAAATAAAGTCAGGGCTCTGGGTGCAGTGGGGTCAGGGGGTCCTCACTGGAGCTGGACCCTGAGGTGAGTGGAGCTTCACCTCAGGGTCTTGGGAATAACTCTATGGAGTAGGCTTATTAACCTACAGGGGAAACTGAGGCATAGAGAGGCAATGAGAAAGACCCTTCCCAGCTAACAAAGAATCATCTTCCACCAGGATTGGGTGGCAGTTACTCATTTCATGATCCTGCCACGTTCCAGCAATTGCTAAAACCCCTCACCTCTGTGGGATGAACCTCCTCAGATGTCCAGGAGGTCCAAGGTCCCAAAAGAGATGGTACTTGTGCTGGGTCTGGCTCATCAAGAGTTAAGTCCTTGGTACCACTGGGGTGAGCTCTTTTGGTTCATCAAAAAGACCCAGAGCCTCCCCAGGAGAACACACACCTGAATCAGGCGGGAACTCATCTGGCCTCCGTCCCTCTTCTGGGACTTGGCTCACAGTTTTCCCTTTGGCTCTGAGAGTCTCCCAGCCAAGGTGGTCTGGGCAGCTTCCAGGTCTTTGTATCATCCACTGCAGGCTGGAGAGCTCAGGGGTCAGTGCTCAGAACACTCTGCCCACCCTGCATCCTGCACCAAGACGTCTCAGTTTCTGAACCCATCCCCTTGCTGTATAGGATCTTAGCAGGCAGGCCTCCTCCCCCTGCTCCACCAGTTGATGTTGGTTCAGACCCCAGAGACCTGAGGGTAGCTCTGTGGGGTTGTGACTGTCTTATCCTGTTTGAGAGTACGTCTCTCTTGAACTTCCTCCATCTCATCTTCTCTCTTTCCGGTGTGCAGGAACCTGCCGGCTGGCTAGTTTCAGATGCGTAGGATTGGGAAAGGGGAGAACAGGAACAAAGAACGGAGACCATCACCTCAATCCCACCCTCAATCCAGCTCCAGCTTGGACAGGTTTCCTGACTGTGGTCTCACTGGGCAATGAAGATCCGTCACCCAACCCAGAGGCTGACAGATCTGTGTGAACAGACACACCTTGGTCTGTTTTCAGTTGCTATGACAAGATACCTGCAAGTAGGTAATTTACAAAGAATAGAGGTTTGGCAGTTGCCTGCAGATTCAGTGACAAACATGCCCACTTTCTGAATTCTAACTCTGAAAGTTCGATTCTTTCCCCACCTTCTGTCCTTTCTCCAGACATTGCCCTGGGACAGATTCTCCCTCCCTCCCTCACCCTACCCACCTCCACTCCAGGCAGCGGCTTACAGACTGCTACTGCTGAGCCCCCTGCTTGCTCCCCGCTACCTCAGAGAACCCACCTTTTCTCCCTTGCTCCATCTTCCTCCTCCTGGCACCTGCTGAGCTCTCCAGTCTGCCTTTCCTGTTTTGCGTTTTGACCCTACCCCCAAAAAATTATCCTCAGTCTGTCCGTAAAAACAAATTAAAAAGAAATGATAATAGGTAAATGAAATTTAAGAAAAGAAACAATGCAAGTTTGTAGTAGATGCAACTTACATTGTAGACACAGGAACCGGCGTCTGGGCTGTGCTTTCAAAAACCCACCCCTAGTAACCCATTTCTGCCCACCACTCCATGTCTCTTAAAGCTCCTGCCCAGGCAAACAGTGTTGAAGACTTGACTCTGTGGGAGACACTGTCACTCAAACTTTAATGCCTATGGTGATGGTTTTTGGAGATGGGGTTGTCACAAGGCAGTCAGGTAGGACGATGTCATTGGGGCAGGTCCCCAAGACAGGGATGTTGTCACCTCAACGAAGGGAAGAGAGACCAGAGCCAACATATGCCTGCTTGCCTTGTGTGTGATGTGGCTTTTCACCAAATGCAAAGGATGTGGAACTCTGCCTAGGTGCCGAGCCAGTAGTAGCAGGGGCCTTCCTTCCAAAGGAGTTCCCTCCTGTTCCCTCTCCATGTAGGAGAGCCAGAAAAATTAGAATGTGTGTACAGAGAGATCACCGTGAATCTTCTCGTCAAAAAAAAAAAGTTTAGAGCATTATTTAAAACCCATAAATATCATCAATGTTTAAAGACCTTACCAACAGACATTGGAATGGCTGGCAGGAGCAAAGCCCACCCAGCTCTACCTCTGGGGCTGAGTGTCAGGAGGGAGAGTCAATGACCGTGAGCCTGAGCAGGGAGGGCCCTGCCAATGGGGAGGAGAGTTGGCCATTGTTACAGACCTTGAAGACAGGCAGGATTGTGATCAGAACTAGGAAGGGACTGTGAATGTATCTTTATTTGCCAGATGTAGTTGTCATCTGAGAGTCTACTGCTAAATAAGCTCACCCTTTCTAGTTCTTTCTGAACTCTGGCTGGCTGGTTCAACTGAGCTTTTCTGGCCCAAACTCTTGTCCAAGCTGACTGACTCAAA